AGTTTTTGATAATCTTACCGTAATACTTTTATGTACAGAATAATGAGACAAATCAATTAGTGTAAGAAAAAAACAAATAATTGTTTAAAAAAGTACATTGTAAATAATTACATACTTTTTCTCAAAAACAATTATTTTTTTTTATACCAATTGATTTGTCTCATTATTCTTTACATAAAAGTATTACGGTAAGATTATCGAAAATTAAATATTTTACGAGATATTTTATTTCTTATATCATCATATGTCAGATTAATACATATAAAATAACTCAAAAAGTACTTAATAAAAACATGCTTTATTACAGAGTTTGAAAAGGTCTCGATAAGGGCTATAAGAATATGCAATAAAAAATATAGCTTTTAATTTAAAAAATTCAATGTGACCTTGATATGACCTTAACAATGCCACCCAAGGTCTAATTAATATTCCTATCTCTTTTCCCCCTCAAAACCAAACAACTTTTGTCTAAAAAGTTTCCTTCTAAAACTTACAGGTTTTGAGATATTTGCCTGTTAAGATTAAAAAGACTCACCCTATATATTGCGACGACTTTTCCCTTTATTCGCGGTCGAACGATAAGCGCGCTCGCCGTTTCAATCTCTCCGTTGCGTGGGTGAACATTGCATCAACGAACGGGAACTGGTTCGCCGAACGGAAGAGACGAGAACGTCGTTGTCAAAAAACAAGATAATCCGGAAAAGGATAACGCGCCGGGCAGGAACGAAATGGTAAGAGTTCTGCGCGTGCCGTGACGGAAGACAGGATATAATACGGAAATCTAAAATTGGGCGCCAGATACGGTCTCTCACGTATCAATTCGTGAAACGCAACAAAATTATTCCAGACGCGAGATATATCGAAATCCGCCACGGGCCGGCTAGCTCGCCTAACGGTAGAGGGGCAGGGCGAGTGTTGTATTAACGCGATTATCAAGCAAGAGGCGACAGATATTGGAGCGACAAACACAAGCTGAAATTAAAGACGGAAAATAGAACAAAGAAAATAACAAGTTTATTATAATAGAGGGAGCCGAGGCTTCTCGAGAGTAATAATAATAATGACCGCGCGGATATTCGGCTGCGGTAAAAATGCGGGAGCGAGACTGGGTGTTAAACACGGGGCGCAAAACCCCGAAAGACTTACGCTAATGTCGGCCCGTTATATCGGCCGTGATCCTCTCTTGGCGTTAAATACGTCTCGCGCCGCTGAGATGACAATCAATATGTTTCAACTTTAATTCGGGCGATCACCCGATCCGATTCTCGATATCAACCCGTTAACGACAACCGTACCGCCCGCTATTATTACTTAAATAGGTAAATATAGCGAATAGGGGACCCTGCTACATTGTAAAGCGAGGTCCACCCTGCCTACCGGCGGGGCGGATGTGGGAGGTGGGCTGAAGGCCCCCCTTGCACTCCCCCGTGTGTGTGTGCGTGTGTGCGCGCGCGCGTGCTTCCTGTCCGTGCATGTACTTTGGTATATTTCAAACTTTTTTTGTTAATAACTTTTTAATAAGCAACGAGCGACGATAGAAATTAGAAGAAAAAGTTACTCAGAATTATGTCCTTGACAACATATGTCAAGGTCAAGGTCATTGGGGCTGGGTCCCCTATTCGCTATATTTACCCTTAAATATTATTACGGAACTTATTACTAACAGGCTGTTCATGAAACGCGCACATTCTTTATTCCCGGACAAACGTGACACGCATACGCGACGCTCAACACACACGCAATCCGTGCGATAATCGCGAGAAAAGCTCTTACAGAACACGTACACAATTTCTAGACGCGACGATTAACAAACCAAAAAAAAAGAGACGCATTTTACATGACCGACACTCACATTCGGACGACAGACATATCATACAATCGAGACTTACGCTTTAAACGTGCGAGAACCGACGCATACGCAATATACGGATTCCGGATCTCCAGAGAGACATCATATGGTTAAGCCAACACGATGTCAATATCTCTATCCGCAGAAACCGTTATTTTAAAAGCTCCGGGACTCGAATCGCTTGACGACGTGGCCGTGACGCGAAAATTACACCAAAGAACGGGACAAATCTCATACGCAAAAAGACTAATTCACGGCGACGACGACAAAACGATATAACCCCGGGCGCGATCGCGCGTGGCTAATTAGCGGAGGATAACCTCACCGGCACACTAACTCCTGTCGGGGTTGCAAGGGGCCGGCGACGTCCTCCCGGGCACGACTTCTCCGCCTTCGATCGCCGGGTTCTCTCCACTCGTCACAATCGTTCTCGCAACTTGCTCGATCTCGCTTTCGTCTCCTATCTAGTCCTGTCTCGCACGCAGGCTCGCGCCAGTCTGACTCCGGGATTCTCGCAATCCAGGATCGATACCGCGGGGCCAGCCGGGGCTGCGCACTCGGGATGCGTATTACCGCAATCAATTACGCGCTACCACGCGCTGGGGCGCTCATGATCGTATCGGGGGTGCGCGCGCCCCCGGTATTGCGAACGATAATTTACTTGGGCCCGCTCAGCGGGGCCGTCGTGGGGTCCAGGTCGGACGTCTTGGCCGGACGTATGGTTACGACCCTCGCTGCCGTCTTTTCCTGCGGGCTGCGTCCTGCAGCGGCAGCGCTAATGCAGTACCTCCAAGGGAAACGGCGCTGCATGGTCCTGGGTCCTTGCGCGAGGATTCACACGTTGTCCTGTGTGTCGCGCATTACGCGTGCGGGTCCTGATCTCGTCGTGACGTCGAAAGATTTGCCGTTGGTTGTTTTGACGAAATGCTGGTTTATTTCACCTCGAAGGTCGCTCGTGATTGTTGATAGATTTGTCTTGTTGTCGCCCGCCTAGGTCTCCCGCCTTCTCCTCCGATGAGGCTTCCAAAATAAATATTCATACGAAAGAAAAAATAAGAAACGAAATTAATAAGTAGATAGTGGGCACTATGGGGCGTCAAACCAAACCCCCACCACCGACCCTTGGCCCTCTGCTGTGACTGTCTGGGACCCTCCCCCCTAATGGTGTCTGTGGGAAAAAAGAGTGGAGAGGACTTGTGGACGTCTACGAGACAATTTTCCTTTTAAATTTTTCTCTTTAAATTTTTCCTTCTAAATTTTTTAAACTAAAAAAAAATTTTTTCTTTTAGAATTTTTTCCTTTTAAATTTTTTTATTTTTTCCGGTCGCGTAAACATGCTTGGGCTCGAATCTGGGTCCTCCATCTCTCTAAACAGGGTCCTAGTATGCTGGGCTAGCTGAAAACTTATTAGAATAGAAGTTAAACGTAGTATTTGTGGAGAGTAGTCCACTGCCAAGATATGGGTCCTGACGGTCCGATTGGTTCTCCCCATAGTACCCAGTCCTCCGATTGATTCCGTCGATTCCATCGATTTAAAGCGGGTTGGAAAAACG